ACAAGAACTCGTGGGCACTCCATGAAACTGCAGAGCGGTCGGGTTAGAACGGATAAAAGGAAGTACTTCTTCACCCAAAGAGTGATTAACACATGGAATTCACTGCCACAGGAAGTGGTGGGTGCTACAAGCATGGACGGCTTCAAAAGGGAATTAGATAAGCATATGGAGCAGAGGTCCATCAGTGGCTATTAGCCACAAGGTATAGCTAGGGGCTCTGGGGCAAGTGATGCTCTGTCTTCTTGGTGCTTGGGGGGGGGGGGTCAACAGTGGGAGGGCTTCTAATGTCCTGGCCCCACTGCTGGACCTCCTGATGGCACTGGTATTTCTGGCCACTGTGTGACACAGAGTGTTGGACTGGATGGGCCTTTGGCCTGATCCAACATTGGCGTCTCTTATGTTCTTATGTTCTTATGCTTTCCCAGTCCTCGTCTTGAAACCGGCCACGCTGCAACACCGGCTCTTTGTCCGTTCCCCTATTTTCCTGGGGGGGGTTGTTTGCTTGATTTCCCTGTGTTCGTAGTGCAGTGCTGGGGCACAGGGCAACTTCAGAGCAGTGTTCCCTCTAAGCTGAGTTAGAGTGAGCCAGCTCACAGCTTTTTATCCTCCAGCTCACACATTTTTGTCTCAGCTCAGGAAGGGATGGCTCCAGAGCAAACTAATTAATGCAGGAGCCAAATGACTCGCTCACAACTTTAGTAGCTCATAAAGTAGAATTGTTGCTCACGAGACTCCACAGCTTAGAGGGAACATTGCTTCAGAGGGAACCGTTCAGGATAGATCCCGCAAACTAAAGGTACGTGCAGATATGCTTGCTGTCTGTGCACCCGAGCGACCTCGGGTCTGCTGCGCCCACAGCTGCCCTCCCTCAGCCCAACCTACATCACAGGCTTGATCTGGGGCTAATGTTTTCTGGGTGACCCTGGGCACTTAGAATCCTAGACTCAAGAGCTGGAAGGGGCCAGGCAGGCCATCTAGTCCCACCCCCTCCTCAATGCAGGATCAGCCTAGAGCATCCCGGACGAGCGTTTGTCCAGACGCTGCTGCTTGAAGGCTGCCAGGGAAGGGGAAGCTCACCACCTCCCCGAGGCAGCGGATTCCACTCTTGCACAACCCTGACTGTCAAAAAAGGTTTTCCCTAATATCCAGCCGATACCTTTCTGCATGTAATTTAAACCCGTTATTTCGAGTCCTCTCCTCTGCTGCTAACAGGGACCGCTCCCTGCCCTCCTCTAAGTAACAGCCCTTCAAATACTTAAAGAGAGCAATCATGTCCCCCCTCGACCTTGTCTTCTCCAGGCTGAACATTCCCAAGTCCCTCAGCCTTTCCTCGCAGGGCTTGGTCTCCAGGCCCCTGATCATCCTCGTGACTCTCCTCTGCACCCGCTCCATTCTTGCACAACCCTGACTGTCAAAACGTTTTCCCTAATATCCAGCCGATACCTTTCTGCATGTAATTTAAACCCGTTATTTCGAGTCCTCTCCTCTGCTGCTAACAGGGACCGCGTGTCCCTGCCCTCCTCTAAGTGACAGCCCTTCAAGCACCTCAAGAGAGCAATCATGTCCCCCCTCGACCTTGTCTTCTCCAGGCTGAACATTCCCAAGTCCCTCAGCCTTTCCTCGCAGGGCTTGGTCTCCAGGCCCCTGATCATCCTCGTGACTCTCCTCTGCACCCGCTTCCATTCTGCCGGCATCCTTTTGGAAGTGATCCCTTCCCTTTCTCACAGCCTGATCCTACCATAAAGGGTTGTTGTGAAGGTAAAAATTGTGAGCATGAGCAGCCCTTATGCGCTCTTTGGTATAGCAGCAGGAAGCAAAGGTGTCAGCGTGTAATTCACCCAGTATGTGTTGGAACTACCCGAGTGCAGGCAGCGAAGAGCAGAGGTGTGTTGATGGATATTCTGTAGCCACACTGTGCAAGGCCGGATATTGTCCTTGTGTGCAAGAATTAGTATGCTAAGAGCCAGTTTAGTGTAGTAGTTAAGAGCGGCAGATTCTAATCTGGAGAAGCGGGTTTGATTCCCCACTCCTGCACATTCAGCCAGCTTGGTGACCTTGGGTCAGTCACAAGTTCTCTCAGAGCTGTTCTCTCAGAGCTCTCTCAGCCCCACCTACCTCACAGAGTGTCTGTTGTGGGGAGAGGAAAGGAAGGGGACTGAAAGCCACTCTGAGACTCCGAGTGAAGGGCAGGGTATAAATCCAATCTCATCTTCTTAAGAATGGCCGTGTTTATGTGCAACGGCAAAACGTTTAGCTGCTCTTCAAGATGTGCAGAATTGTGAGGTTTGCAGAGTTATGAAGTGTGCAGATGAACCCTCCCTCTCCTTCCGTGGTTTGCAGAGCACAGTGTCACGTGGCCCCGGGAGCTGATTGCACTGACTTGGGGTTTGCTTGTCTCTGCTGATGATAGAATTGTGGTTTTCAGGCTGCGTTCCGGGGGAAACTGTTCTTAGAAATTTAACAAAGAAGGCAAAGAGAAAGGGACAGCGAGCGAAGCTCCAGGGAAGGCCGGTTGGCCTGCTGCTGGCCACCTACAGCCACAGGGGAGCATTGGCAGTGTGGTTTGGCAATGAGTTGGCATCCCAGACCAGTGCGCGTGTGAAGGATTCTCTGCATGTACAAAGTTTGCAAACCGCTGTCGGAGAGGCTGGCAACTGTCCTGTAACATGGAACAAAGTAACAGTCCAAAGACAGCAGTCTGCAAACTTTGGCTCGGTGTACGAGCCAGCCAACGTTTGTGGTTGCTACTGACCAAATCCTCTGCGCATGGAACAAATGTGCAGGGGGGGGGGTGTCTTTCACATTGTTCTTTCCTGTCCCTTGATAGATCTCTGCTCTCCCAGAAGTAGGGGGAGAGGGTGGGAAACAAACACTGAGACTCTTTCTCCAAGGAACTCTGAGAAGAACTGAGAACCAGTTAGGTATAGTGGTTAGGAGCACGGACTCTAATCTGGGAGAACCGGGTTTGGTTCCCCACTCCTCCGTATGAAGCTGCTGGTGTGACTTTGGGTCAGTCACAAGTTCTTTCAGCGCGGTTCTCTCACGAGTGGTTCTCAAGGAGCACTCTCAGCCTCACCCACCTCGCAAGGTATCTGTTGTGGGGAGGGGGAGGGGAGGAGATTGAAAGCCGCTCTGAGACTCCTTCAGGTCGTGAAGGGCAGGGTATAAATCCAATCTCTTCCTCGGCGTCTTTCATAGGAATGTGGGGATTTGAATGCAGGCCTCGCACATCCTAATCTGACCACTACAACACAGTGGTTGTTCCTATGGTGGAAGATCTGATGAGGTTGCAGTGAACATCCAAGTTCTCCCCCAGACTTCACAGAATTCAGTGATTCCACAGTTAGCTGGGATACCTCTGTCATGCTGAAGCAGGATAGGAGTGCCTGAATGGGAGGGAGACCTCGTACGAACCCCTACGTTTTTCTGTGGGGTTCTGTGACTATAGAGTGTGTTTTATTCCGCATGAACAGCTGGCACACACACGAGCAGGAAGTACAAAACTCGAACGGTACTATTGCTGCATGCGAAAAACTGGTGGTCGTGCAGGATAGCATAAGGAAAACACTGGCGACTGCGCCACTGTTGCGTGCCTCTATGAGTCTCTGTGCCCAATTGTCACACATACTATGTCAAACATGCGGCCCGGGGGCCAGATCAGGCCCCTGGAGGGCTTCTATCAGGCCCACAGTGGAACTGGCCGTCTTCTGCTTCTTCTTCTCCAGTTTGGTGTAGTGGTTAAGTGTGTGGACTCTAATCTGGGAGAACCGGGTTTGATTACCCACTCCTCCACTTGCACTTGCTGATGTGACCTTGGGTCAGTCACAAGCTCTGGCACAGCTGTCCTTGAAAAAGAGCAGTTTGTGTCAGAGTTCTCTCAGCCCCACCCACCTCACAGGGTGTCTGTTGTGGGGAGAGGAAGGGAAAGGAGTTTGTAAGCCGCTCTGAGACTCCAAGTGAAGGGCGGGGTATAAATCCAATCTCTTCTTCTTCTTCTTCCAGTTCTGCTGCTGCTGCATCATCATAGGTTTGCAGCTTACAGATACACACCCGAACAGCATACTCAAGATTGCTACAGCACAGACATTTTGATGCAATAATTCAGAGCAAGGGGCATCAGTTATCAGACACTGTTAAATAAAGAAAATATCGCAAGAGTGCTAATGTGTTAAGCATGTTTTTATTTTAAGTAGGAAAAAAACCCTTTCTGTTTGCGTCCTTTATAAAGTTTATATCTCCGCTACCTGGCATTACATTTTATGACACGTGGCCCGGCCGACCAAGGTCTCATTTATGTCAGATCCGGCCCTCATAACAAATGAGTTCAACACCCCTGTACCAGTGGGAATTTGGTTCAGAGATTGTGCAAGCACTCTGCTCCCAAATATTTTTTAAAGGGAGTGGGTTCTAGTAACAAGAAGAAGAGATTGGATTTATACCCTGCCCTTCACTCCCCGAAGGAGTCTCAGAGCGGTTTACAATCTCCTTTTCCTTCCCCACCCCACAACAGACACCCTGTGAGTAACGCTCCTTCTAAGCTGTGGAGTCTTGTGAGCGAAAATTCTACTTTGTGAGCTACTGGCATTAAAATTGTGAGCAAGTTACCTGGCTACTGCATAAATTAGTTTGCTCTGGAGCCATCCTTCCTGAGCTAAGACAAAAATGTGTGAGCCGGAGACAAAGAAACTGTGAGCTAGCTCACACTAACTCAGCTTAGAGGAAACAGTGCCTGTGCGGTAGGTGGGATGGAGGGAGCTCTTTTGAGGACTGCCCTTGAGAGAACAGCTCTGAAAGAACTTGTGACTGGCCCAAGGTCACTCCAGCAGCTGCATGTGGAGGAGTGGGGGAACCAAACCCTGTTCTCCCAGAGTAGAGTCCACGCTCCTAACTACTTCACCAAACTGGGGTGTAGGCAGGGGCTCGGCCAACATGGGTTCTTTCTCAGCTTTTTAGGTGACCCTCTCTTTCCCCTCTTGTTTTTTTTTTTAATTTATTTACAGCCACGAGAAAGCTCAAGAAGGAGAAGAGGGAGTCGAGCTGCAAGAAGGTGAGGAGGGGTGCCGGGCTGGCTCAGAACCCACCCAATAATATAAGACGTGCGAAATGTCTGTATTATGAGCAAAAGGTGAGCGTTTAGTCTTTTCCCAACAGGACCCCTCTGGGCCTACGTTTGCCCAGTCTGCAGTGGGAATCCCAAACCCCGCACGCTCCTTCCAGAGTAGCATTCACGTCCCTTACAAGGTATTCACCTTTGCCAAAAATGAGGCCGGTCGCCTGATTTGCGAAATCATAGTCGATCGATCGATTAATAATATATGAGATCAAAGTTTCATAGTCATTTTTTTAAAAGAAAAATCCAAAAGCCTTTGCCATTTTTTCGATAATGCCTGTGTGGCATTACAATTCCCAGCTTGAAAGAAACATTCCCTCTTGTGTGTGAGGGAAAGCGGGGATGTGTCTTCTAAGCTGACACTCGAGAACCTCTCCTTAAGTGCTTGGATGGCAAATCTTTAAAAAGGTTCTCGGGAGCACCTTTTCATTGAATCGAAAGCTTTTACAGTTGACTCGTATGACCGATGTGTTAACTGTTGCAGATGACTGAAAATTAATTTATATGTTTGAAAAGCAATCTTATTCCTTCAGAATTCTTAGAATTCTAAAGAATTCTTAGAATTCCAAAGAATTCAGAATTCCTTAATTTCTTTAATAACAACTACAGCTTCCTTCCCCAGGGATCTTATAGTCTTATCACCCCTGGTTTGTTTGGGGTTTCTTTGTTGTTGCGGTTATATGCGGCCCTTACTCTAAGGTGCCTTGGAGAGCATATAGCCTTCCCCCTTGCCTGTCAAAACAACCCTGTGGAGACCCATGAAGCTGTCTCATACTGAATCCAGACCCTTGGTCCATCAAAGTCAGTATTGTCGACTCAAGACTGGCAACAGCTCTCCAGGGTCTCAGGCAGAAGTCTTTTTTAACACCACCCTCTACCTGGTTCTTTAAGTGGAGAAGCCGGGGATTGAACCTGGGACCTTAGGCACACCAAGCAGATGCTCTACCACTGAGCCACAGACCCTCCCTGCTGCGAGCTAGATGAGATGGGAAATAGCAACAGCCCACGTTCCTCCAGCAAAAGTCATGGATGGGGAAGACCCAGGTCAAGTTTTGCTATTTCTGTCCTTAGTCCCAGACGAGTTCCTGTGAACTGCACACACAAGATGTTGAGAGTACACTAAGCATCCATCCTTGGGCTTGCTCCCGGTTGTGTAGAGGCATTTTAACGTGTTTTGAGAAATGACCGCTGCTTTAAGGGCAGTGTGCGGCTTTGGGGGTCAGTCCGAGGGTCACCTGCCTCCTCCCCACCCCCTTTGAGACACCAGTTTGGAAGGGTTACAAGAAAACAACCCTGTTGCCTTCCAGTGCAGATATACCAGTGAAGGGGGTAGGGTTGCCAGACCAAGGCTGGGAAATTCCTGGACATTTGGGAGGTGGAGCCTGGGGAGGAGAGGGACCTCATGGCATAGAGTCCACCTTCCAAAGCAGCCATTTTCTCCAGGGGAACTGATCTCTGTTGTCTGGAAATCAGTTGCAATTCTGGGAGAACTCCAGGCCCCATCTGGAGGTTGGCAAACTAGTCCGGAGCAGCCTTAGGGCTGACTATGCTTGCAGGTATATACATACAGGTGTGCTGGCGTGGGTTGGTTTCGAACCAGCTGAACTGGGGAAGAGGCAGCAGTGCATTGTGGGAGTTAGGCTAGGGAGAGGTAGGAGAGGTAGGCTAGACACTGAGGTGGTAGGCTAGACACTGAATCTGCATTACGGTTTGGCCTTCCGGGTCCTCTCCAGGGCTGCTGCAGTCTCCTGCTACTTTGTGTCGTGTATGGCATGCGACATGAGTTCGTTGTGAGTTCGAGGTTGTGCCATCTCTCCCCCTTCAGTCCCAAAATGACTGATCATGTGCAGAGGCCAACAGTGGCAGACTTAATGGAGCTCGGTTCTGGCCCACCCTAATTCCCCTGTTCTGACCCTTACCACCTCAACCCCCTTCCATAAGCTAGGGCATCTCTTTGACCCAACAGATTCCCGGGTGCCATGCAATGCTCCCTCTAAGCTGTGGGGTCTTGTGAGCAAAAATTCTGCTTTGTGAGCTCCTGGCATTACCGTTGTGAGTGAGTGATTCAGCTGCTGCATAAATGAGTTTGCTCTGGAGCCATCCTTCCTGAGCCGAGACAAAAACCTATGAGCTGGAGGCTAAAAAACTCACGCTAACTCAGCTTAGAGGGAACACTGGTGCCATGTGCCCCCCCGCCCCTGATGCCCGTTATTGGTAATTGGATTTCCCGTCTTTGCTCAGGAGACGGCACAAACGCGGATGAGCAGACTGCAGTGGCGATCGCCAGCGTCCAGCAAGCGGCCTTCACAGACCATAATATCCAATACCAGTTCCGCACAGAGAACAATGGAGGACAGGTAACTTTGGGGAGGACTGTGCCTACCTTTGTGGCTTTGAGTATGATAAGAGGGAAAGGATTTGGGGTACACAAATGTGTCCCCTGGCCAGCTCCCCTCTGGGTGAACATTGGCTTAGAGCGGGGGTCCCCAACCTTGGTCAGCCTGCGGGCCTCTTTGGAATTCTGACACCGCGTGGTGGGCGCAGCAACAAAATGGCTCCCTCTAGAGGCAGAGCCAAGGGGCTGCCGCAACTTACGTTCAGTCACACTGTGAAGGCCCTTGTATAGTGGGGGCAGCTGCTGCCAAAGCAACATTTTTAAAAAATGCACAGCCAATCAGAAGCTTTGCTGGGCAAATGCCGCGCTCCCTTTCTTAAAACACTTGGCGGTCACCAGAAGAGGTACCATGGCGCCCAGGGGCACTGTGTTGAGGACCCCTGGCTTAGAGGCAGGTTTGTTGCAGCACAATTCCAGGGACTGGGCCATTGTATAATTTGACCAGTGGGGCTGTCACATGATTGCATGCATGTCTTAAAGCTCCCTGCCTGTAGAAAGTTAGCAGGTTGAGGGGGGAGAGGTTCTAGTTTGGCTTTGCCCCTGATGTGCTGCTTTGTAGCAGGGCTTTTTTTCTGTGTGTGGGGGGTTACTCCATAGTCCTGAGTACCGACACCATTGGGCGGGGCACTTCCAAGTCTTCAGGGTGGAATCGGTGGCATTCAATGCCACCTTTATATATGAGTACTGGTGCCTTTTTAAAAGTATTGTTTGTTTGTTTTTTTAAAAAGCACTGATTGGCAGATTTTTGTGCTTTTGTGTCCAAATGCATGTGTTTTTGTGTAATGTTTCCAAATGTGTGTGTGTTTTTGTGTAATGTTTCCAAACGTGTGTGTGTGTTTGTGTAATGTTTACAAACACAGAGTGGTGTGTTTTAGTGTAATGTTTCCAAGCACATTTCCCCCTTCTCTTGAACATCAGTCATTTCGTTTTTGTGTTTTTAATTTGGGCTTTTTTCCCATTCCTTGCAGCCAGATATTGCAAACCAAGAAAACCAAAGCTGTCCTGACCTCCCCAACCACCACTACATCCACCACCACCCCCAGAGTGACTGTTCTGTGCCTCTTCTCTCCCAGGTGACATACAGAGTAGTCCAGGTGACGGACAGTCAGCTGGACGGACAGACGGACACAACGGGGGCCGTCAGCGTGGTCTCGACGGCAGCATTCGCCAGCGGCCAACAGGCTGTTGCCCAGGTAGGGGGTTGGCTCCTTGGCCCCAGAATTCGGTGCCGCTTCCTAGGTAGAGTCTGCAGCCATGTGTAGAAATGTGAAGGCCTGGGGAAAAAAAACGGAAAAAATCGGGGACAAAACGGTTTTTTCCCGTTTTTTCCTGAAGCCTTTTTTGTTTTTTTCCAAAAAATTGGAAAAATTGAGAAAAGAAAATTATGGAACGTTTAATTTTAACATGATGAATAAAATATTTTAAGACAAGGTGTTCAAATATTTTCCAAATCATTTCTAAATATATATATATATGGTATCAGATTGATCTAATTTCTGTGCACTGAGGACAAGCAAGTCCTAGGTTACAAACTGAACTCTCCAATGCAAGAACAAGATGCGTTTCTTCCTTTAGGAGGTGCGATTGTCAGAAGTAAATAAAAAGGTTTCAGTTTTGTTTCTGCATGTGGGTGGGTATTCTGTTTGTAATAATTGTTTGGATACACTATATTTTTAATATGCTAGTTGTGATAATTTCATGCCAAGTAAAAATGTCCATAGTCATATTTTATGTTCCTAAAGCAACAGAATGACTTTCAATCTAGAAAAGACAAAAGAAATGCTAATGTGGCATTTTTCAATTTTTCCAAAAATTTCCGTTTCCCCCCGAAAAAAAACGGGAAAAACTGGGTTTTTTTCCCGAGCTTCAAAATTTCCGGAAATTTTACATCTCTAGCCATGTGCTAGAACAGGGTTGCTTTTCTGCCATCGGTGGATCCACTCGCTACAAACAATACAGCCTAGTGGGGGTGAGTCTTTCTCTGCCGTAGCAAGAGTTCAGACAGTTGTCTTGTGGGTTTTCCTTCCAAAAGCGAGACTCCCCAGTGGAATGTAGCCGTGTCATAGCCATTCTTGAGGACTAACTCCATGCCTGTTGTCATGACCAGAGGTGGAGGTGAGGGGCGTAGGACTCAACAGTCAACCACCCACTTATAGGGCAGTGGAGGAGGCAGCATGTCTTTTTCGGATGCGGCCGGTGGGGGGGTTGGTGTCAGGGCTGATCCTCGTCGCCATTAATGAATTATAAACCTTTATCAGCTGCCTTTCTACCTTGTGGAACTGAAGGGAGCTTACAGTCTGACTAAACCAGCAGTTACAAAAAGATATATATACACACGTAAGGCCGCAATTTAAAAGCACAGTTAGAACGACCAATGAATAAAACCACAACTTCAGTCAAATGCAGTCCTAAATAAAACCACCTTCATCTGCCTCCTGAAGTGCGGGAGCCAGGCGCACCTCTCTGGGGAGTTTGTCCCATAATCGTGGGGCTGCCACCGAAAAGGCCCTTTCTAGGATACCCACCAAACGAGCTTCTTTGGTCGATGGGACAGTCAGGAGCAGTGTTCCCTCTAAGCTGAGTTAGTGTGAGCTAGCTCACAGTTTTTTAGCCTCCAGCTCACAGATTTTTGCCTTCGCTCAGGAAGGAAGGCTCCGGAGCAAACTAATTTACGCAGTAACCAAATCGCTCGCTCACATCCTTAATGCCAGGAGCTCACAAAGTAGAATTTTTGCTCACAAGACTCCACAGCTTAGAGGGAACATTGGTCAGGAGGGCCTCTCCTTGAGGTCTTAATCCCCAGGCAGGAATGTATGGGAAAAGACCATCTTTCAGATATCTTAGTCCCAAGCCAGGCGGGGCTATAAAGGACAAAACCAGATTGTGGATACCTTTATTCATCCCTCAGAGCTCTGCTTCCCAGTTAGTTTCCGTGTGCAACACAAATGCTGGTTTTTGACCTGGAGACACCCCCACCCCCCACCCCCAATCAGTCTGGGGCTGGAGTATTTGAAGGACTGAATGGCTCCCGCAAAGGATCCACCCAATGGCTTAGATCACCCAACCCCCATAGACTTGCTTCCTCTTCCACCTCTGGCTAGGGTTGCTGACTCTGGGTTGGGGAATATCTGGAGATTTGGGGGGGAGGGGGGGAGCCTGGGGAGGGGAGAGACCTCGTTAAGAACATAAGAGAAGCCAGCGTTGGATCAGGCCAATGGCCCATCCAGTCCAACACTCTGTCACACAGTGGCCAAAAACACCAGGTGCCACCAGGAGGTCCACCAGTGGGGCCAGGACACTAGAAGCCTTCCCACTGTTGCCCCCCCCCAAGCACCAAGAAGACAGAGCATCACTTGCCCTATCTATACCTTGAGGCTAATAGCTACCGATGGACCTCTGCTCCATATCTACATATCTAATTCCCAACATGCCTCCTCCGTGCAGATATCTAAATCCGCACTTGGGGGGCAGGGAGATTTTTCTGCACATTTGGGGCAATCCCTAGATGTGCAGAAAAATCTAAAAACTGTAAAAAAAATATAGGGGGGGATATTTAAATCCCCCCAAAAGTAAAAGAGCCTGCGCAGGGAACACTCTGAGAATGGCTTCGCCACTGCTGCTGGGGGAGGGGGTGGGAGAAGGCTTGGCAGGCCAGCCGGCGACTATATGCCGCTCAGCCTTCGCCGCCGCCCGGGGGGAGGGAAGAGGGAAGGTGTTTTGTTTGTAGCATTCAGGTTGTGAATCGGTGGTGTCCCTCGGTGAACAGCGCCACCAGGATGTGGTTACTGGGTTCTGCTTATGCATCTGTCTATGTGTGTGTGATTTCCGGCTGTTGACTGTTGCTCTGGTGGAGAAGCCCTCCACCTTTACCATCTCCTCTTTCTCTCCCATCCCACTTCTGCAAAGTGCGTCAGGACACTCGAACCTTGCCCTGAAAAGACACGCACAAGTTTTGACATCCCCGGAAAGAACATAGTGGTAGAACACAGAGCTTGCATTCAGCCAGTGGCGAGTTCAGATTCTGAGATCTCCCGTTAGTATCTCCGGTGCTGGGGAAAGCCTTTCTCTGAATGTGACCCTGGAGAGTCATTGAGACAGTACTGAACTCGAGGGTCCCCGGGTGTAACATGGTTTCTGGACCGTCTGTTGTTATAGTGCCTGCCTTTTTCTATGCAGTCGTGAGCACCAGTCGCCCCTTTCCCAGCTGGCAAAGGCTCTCTGAAGTGTAGACTCCGTAGCACCGAATTCCTGGTTGTGCACACTTACTGTGTTGGCTTGTAATTTGCCCTGGCTTGTCCTAACATACTCCGTTCAGGCCTGTACATATATTCCTGGGTGTTCACCAGAACTCGCAAAACTGCTGAGATGGATAAACTGACTTTATTTTTGAGAGACCAAGAGGAGGGGGGGATCCAAGACTACATGGTCAAGATTTTATAAATGGTTTGAAGATCACAGTAAATCAGTGGTTCTCAACCTTCCTAATGCCGCAACCCTTTAATACAGTTCCTCATGTTGTGGTGACCCCCCAACCATAAAATTATTTCCGTTGCTACTTCATAACTGTAATTTTGCTACTGGTTATGCCAAATTTGCTACTGGTTCTGGTCTCAGCTCTCCGGGGTTATGCCAAGTTTGGGCCCGGGGGGCGCCGTGTGTGTTTATATGTGCATGGCACTGACCTATCATGAGAGTTTTCCGAGAATCATGCTTCCATGGGGACTGTCGCAGTAATACCAGCCCGCCTTACAGGACTGTTGTAAGGATTCACTATGCAGGTGAGGTGCATAGGGAGCCTTTTGAGAAAAGGGCTGCGTCAGTTTCAGGGCTTCAGTCGGTAGATCCGTCTGCTATAAGGCAGAGGGTTTCAAACTCCTGTACTTGGAAAGGAGCCCCCCCCCCCAATAACTCTCCAAACGACAGGCAAAACCTCCCGCAAGTCCGCTGTCCCATCTCAATGGATCACCCTCCAAAATGCACCAGAGTGGTTTGTGCTCTAGATTTTTTAAGATTTATTTTGCTTTCTTTCTATCCTGCCTTTCTCCTCAGTGGGGAACCCAAAAAGGCTTACATTGTTCTCCTCTGCTTTACCCTCACAATGACCCCGTGAGGTCGGTGAGGCCAAGAGTGTGTGACTGGCCCAAGGTCACCCAGCGAGCTTCTGTGGCAGTGTGGGGATTCAAACTTGGGTCTCCTAGATCAATGGTGGCGAACCTATGGCACGGGTGCCAGAGGTGGCACTCAGAGCCCTCTCTGTGGGCACGGGTGACATCGCCCCAGCCAGGCCCAGACCATCATTAAAGTGTCAAATTCTCTGCCAAATAATTTTAAGTAAGTGAAAGCATTTGGGATTGCTTGCCTTACTTTGTTTGGATCATCTTATGTTAATGTATAAGTTGTTTTTTCTAAAGTACAACCTCAGTATGCAGGTTAAATTGCCGTGTTGGCACTTTGCAATAAATAAGTGGGATTTGGGTCGCAGTTTGGGCACGCGGTCTCTAAAAGGTTCACCATCACTGTCCTAGATCCTAGTCCGACCCTCGAACCCAGGGGTGTCAAGCTCATTTGTTATGAGGGCCGGATCTGACATAAACAAGACCTTGTTGGGCCGGGCCATGTGTGTCATAAAATGTAATGCCAGGTAGCAGAGATACAAACTTTATAAAGGACACAAACACAAAGGGTTTTTTTTAACTTAAAATAAAAACATGCTTAAAACATTAGCGCTCTCTGTAATATTTTGTTCATTTAACAGTGTCTGATAACTGACACCCCTTGCTCTGAATTATTGCATCAAGATGTCTGTGCTGTTGCAATCTTATGCTGTTCAGGTGTGTACCTGTAAGCGGCAAACCTACGATGACGCAGCAGCAGCGGAACTGGAAGAAGAAGAAGCAGAAGACAGCCAGTTCCACTGCGGGCCTGATAGAAGCCCTCCGGGGGGGCCTGATCCGGCCCCCGAGCCACATGTTTGAAACTCTCTAACCACTACACCACATTGGGCCTCAGATTTTCTCCTCTGTTCGTGCTGACTGATGCTTGAGGCTATTCAGGCGTGCTCAACGCCCTGTGTGCACTGGGTGTGCCTTTCCCAGAATCCTCTGCAACTCTCACACTGGAGTGACGTTTCCAAAATACTTCCCCGAAACAAGGAAGTCTGAAAAACGCATCGGTCAATTCAGTTGATTGGTGGGGAGCCAGTTTTAATCAACAGGGCTGTGATTAATTGGCACTTAATTGATTAACAAGAGCCGGCTTGTGGTGAAGTCCAGGGCTCCCTCTAAGCTGTGGAGTCTTGTGAGCGAAAATTCTACTTTGTGAGCTCCTGGCATTAAAGTTGTGAGCAAGTGATTGGGCTGCTACATAAATTAGTTTGCTCTGGAGCCATCCCTTCCTGAGCTGAGGCAAAAATGTGTGAGCCAGAGGCTAAAAAACTGTGAGCTAGCTCACACTAACTCAGCTTAAAGGGAACAGTGGTGAAGTCCCGTGGCCATCCTGGCACTTCAGTCTACATCTCAAAAAGGCCTCCCTGAGATTTTTGCTAACAAGCTGGTGTATGTGGTTAAAGGTAAAGGTAAAGGTTCCCTTGCTCGAAAGCCAGTCGAATCCAACTCTAGGGTTGCGGTGCTCATCTCCGTTTCAAAGCTGAAGAGCCAGCGCTGTCCGAAGACGTTTCCGTGGTCATGTGGCCGGCATGACTAAACACCAAGGCGCACGGAAGGCTGTTACCTTCCCACCAAAGTGGTCCCTATTTATCTACTTGCAATGTCTTGCTTTCGAACTGCTAGGTTGGCAGGAGCTGGAACTAGAGACAGGCGCTCACCCCGTCTTGCGGCACCCGGGTCTTGAACTGCTGAACTACTGACCTTCCACAGGCTGCAGTTCAGCATCTTAACCACTTGAGCCACCGCAGCTCCTATGTGGTTAGCTGTTGATTAAAAGGCAGTCGTTCAAGCAGCTGTTTAAGTTGTTATCAGTATTGACATAGCCAGTGTTTTGTCGTGGTTAGAGTGTGGGGCTAGGATCTAGGGGACCCAGGTTCGAAACCCCCCCCCCCCCCCACGGAAGCTTGCTGGGTGACTGTAATGTGGGCCAGGGTTAGGGTGGGGGGCTAGGATTTTGGGGACCCCGGTTGGAAACCCCCCCCCCCCCGCCACGGAAGCTTGCTGGGTGACTGTAATGTGGGCCAGTCACACTCTCTCAGCCTAACCTACTTTAGCGGACTGTTGGGAAAATAAAACGGAGAAGAAAATGATGTAAGGTGCTTTGGGTCCCACTGGAGAGAAAAGCGGAGTATGAATGAAGTTAGAAAATAAGTTATGAATTACTGTGTTTTCTGCAGAACAAAGTCCCTTGGCTCCTTTAAGACCAACAAAGTTTTCTTCAAGGTATATGCTTTTGTGTGCACGCACACTCCCTCAGATACATTGAAGTGGAAGTTGCCAGTCCATATATATAGGTAGAGGGTGAGCAGTAAATTAGCATACAGCACAACGGAGATATTTAACAGATTCAAGGGCTAAACAAGAATAACGAGCTTAGTTTATACGATGACCATTTGTTTGGGTTTAATTCCAGGGGGAAAACATAGTGAAGGAAATAAATAGGTCAACATTGGAGATTGATGGGCAGATGTATCCTTAATTGTGGGAAGCTGAGAGTAATTAACTGAGACTCCGCCATTATGCTTCATCTGTCTCCTCTCAAGCATGGAGGCGACCTTACAGCACCGTCTTCTTTGAAATGAGACGATTAGCTGTGTAGAGTTATCTCCCCTGTCCAGACCAGAGGAGTACATTCCAGTCTACCATTCCAAATTACATTATATTCTACTAGAACAAAGTTAGAATCCAGCGGCTCCTTTAAGACCAACAACGTTTATTCAAGGTCTGAGCTTTCGTGTGCACACACGTTTCGTCAGACAATGAAATGGAATTACAGATCATACTTGTATATATACAGGGTGGCTTGTTAAATCAGCACGCAAAAGAGTGAAGGTGTTTTTTAACAGATAAAAAGAATGACAAGCTTGGTTTCTGCTATTCTGCTGTTCATTTTGTTACATTACAATCTGCTATTCTAATCTATTATTACAAATGAGGAATAAAACCCTTTATTAAAACCCTTAATCCCCCTTCTGGGGGATCGGCAAGAAAACCAATGGGAGGGCTGAATATGGTTAGCGTATATAAAGTCACATATTTTAGAAAGGTTTCCCATTTTAACCACAAGGGGGCAGTGTGCTCTTGGGAGCATCCTCTTTGCAAATCTGGAAAAACGCAAAGCTGCTGGGAAATGTTACAGAATCCAGCCTCTCCCAGCAGCCTCTGTCTGTAACCATGGCGGCTTCCATTCCTTCCCCAGCCCTGGCGATGGAACCCCAACACAGAATGCCCGAGTCCCCTTGTGCTGTTTTCTAGGCCGTGATCCAGAACCCATTCAGCAATGGCGGAAGCCCAGCGACGGATGCCGTCAGCGGGGAGGCCCGCTTTGCATATTTCCCGGCCTCTACGGTGGGGGACGCCACAGCGGTCTCGGTGCAGACGACGGATCAGTCGCTAGCCCAAGCCGGAGGTAGGAAGCAAGACGCACCGAGCGTATCCTCCGTTGTTCTCTCTAGAGCAAAGGCATCAAACTTATTTGTTACGAGGGCCAGATCTGGCATGAATGTCATGTATGCCATAAAACATAAAACAAAACCAGAGATATAAACTGTATAAATGACAGTAGCTGGTAACCTCCAAGTTGTTGTATCCTCACTGCAAGCCTCAGGGGCTGGGTGAGGGGTGCAAAGGAAAACCCATATGAGTGGACTGCAGATCAGATTGTTCCGCCAAGCTGAAGCCACAATTGGAGTGGCTCTGCCCACCCCACCCCCGAGCAGTCTCCTGTTCCCTCCCTTGCACTAGTTGCTCGCGGGCTGCATAACAGCCCTGGATGGGCCGGTTCTGGCCCCCGGGCCGTATCTTTGACACCCCTGCTCTAGAGTGTCATCAGAGGGTTTATGCTGATAAACGCAGTTGTGAATGCTGATATTCTGCAACATATTTAAATATTGTGTTTTACCTTATTTTGTGTGATTTTGCAGCTTTGCCTCATTGGCTGTACTAATCATGTCAGTGGTCAGGGTGCTGAACGTGCATCTCTGATGCCCTGTTCCCCTGTCAATGGGAGATCGCGTTCAGCCAGTTTGGCGTAGTGGTTAAGTGCGCAAACTCTAATCTGGGAGAACCGGGTTTGATTCCCCCACTTCTCCACTTGCACCTGGCTGGTTGACCTTGGGCAAGCCACAGTTCTGATAAGAGCTCTCTCAGCCCCACCTACCTCACAGGGTGTCTGTTGTGGGGAGGGGGAGGGAAAGGCATTTGTAAACCGCTCTGAGATACCTTTGGGTAGTGAAGGGCGGGGTATAAATCCAATCTCCTCCTCTTCTTCTTCTTTGCTTCTTGCATCTTATAAGCTGCTTTACAAGGAGGTTTCGGTGGGTGTGAGAACCAGGGCTATTTTTGAGCAGGAACGCACAGGAACAGAGTTCCAGCTGGCTTCAGAGTTGGCCACGCTCACTACAGCCAAAACCTCTGCATGCGTGGCTACAGAGGGAAGGGGTGCCCAGGCAAGCCAAGGGAAGGCAGTTTAAACTGCCTTCCCTTCCCTCCAAGGGCTGGCTTGCCCAGGTTCCCCGCAGCCACAGGGTGCCCGGGCAAGCCAAGGGCAGGCATGGAGGTGTGGCCTAATACGCTAATGAGCTGCGCTGTCAGGAGTGTGGCCTGATATGCTAATGAGTTTCTGCTGTTGAGTGTGGCCTCTTATGCTAATGAGTTCCTGCTGGGTTTTTTCTACAAAAAAAGCCCTGGTGAGAACTAGAAACTTGCTCATTCTTTTGTCTGAAAATCCGAAGCAGAGTTTCTCGGGAAGCATCAACCCACATCATGCTCTTTTGCCGCCAGTCTGTGGGATCGCAGCATGTGTGCACATCTACGTATCGGCACCTTTGCAGAACCTAGTGGTCCCCCACACGCGAGTTTCCGGTTAGCGCAGGCAAGGTTTTCTCTGCACCCTTGCTCGCTCTGTCTTCCAGTGTAAGACTAATCCCCCCTCCATTTTGTTCCTCCTTAGGCCAGTTCTACGTAATGATGACCCCGCAAGACGTATTGCAGACGGGAACGCAACGCACCATCGCCCCCCGTACTCACCCCTACTCTCCGTACGTATGGCTCCTGGAGCAGAGGGGACCATTGGGGTGGAGCCTGGCTGGCTACCGTACTTCCACCTGGTAGAGCCAGTTTGGTGTAGTGGTTAAGTGCGCAGGCTCTAATCTGGGAGAACCAGGTTTGATTCCCCCATTCCTCCACATGCAGCTGCTCGATGACCTTGGGCAAGCCATAGTTCTGTCAGAGCTGTTCTTAAAAGAGCAATTCTCGGAAGATCAGCCCCACCTACCTCACTGGGTGTCTGTTGTAGGGAGGGGAAGGGAAAGGAGATTGTAAGCCGCACTGAGACTGAGTGAAGGGTGGGGGTATAAATCCAATCTCCTCCTCTTCTTCTAACCGAGACCCATGGGTATTGCCCAGATGTACTGTCTGCTGAGCGTCGCCTCTTCAGGGAAAGAAGCGGCCAAGGATAGCGGTATGATGGAGATTCTCACTGGGGGCGGTAAACGCACCTGGCACCGCCCTGAATGAGAATGTAGACCCTACAACTATCCTCGCGTGACCCTTTCCTGCAGAGGGGAGCTTTAGTACCTAAAGATATCAAGTCTGTGCTCCCGGCAGCTGTTTAGGGGGAGGCCCGGGAGGGGAAAGCATCACTGGTGCATTGAAGTCACGTCCAGATGAAGACCCGGAAATGTCGTCACTGCATGCACGCACACAGTCTAAGAATCCCACAAACTCTATGGCAAACACCATAGAGATCTGTTCAGTTCCTAGAGTGTCTTTGGTGGCAGCAGTGACATCAGAACATTATGACGTCTCTCCCCCCCCCCCCCAATTTTCCTCCTGCTGCTCACCTGAGAACTGGTGGGCAACGGAGTGTGGAGACAGACGTTCCCCCAGTGGGCACCCGGCAACCCTATTAGTACCCCTTCCCCTACATTTTATGGTGGAAAGGGCTCACTCCGTCTCCATCACCTTATTCCAGGATGGTGGTGGGATAATGGATCGAGACCTCCCCATCCTGTCTTTTTCTTTAAATTAAAAGGGGGGGAGGGGTGATTTGGCGCGTCCTACTTCAAGTGGTGAATGGGGCTGTTAAGAACGTCTTGATTCTTTAGGTAAAGGTTCCCTTGCTCGAAAGCCAGTCGAGTCCGACTCTAGGGTTGCGGTGCTCATCTCCGTTTCAAAGCTGAACAGCCAGCGCTGCCCGAAGGCGTTTCCGTGGTCATGTGGCCGGCATGACTAAACACCGAGGCGCGCGGAACGCTGTTCCCTCCCCACTGAAGTGGTACCTATTTATCTACTTGCAATTTCTTGCTTTCGAACTGCTAGGTCGGCAGGAGCTGGAACTAGAGACGGGAGCTCACTCCATCATGCGGCACACTCGGGTCTCGAACTGCCGAACAAACGACCTTCCACAGCCTCCAGTTCAGCGTCTTAAACACTTGAGCCACGTGACTTTTTTCTTTTGCTTCAAAACCTAGGAAAATGGATGGGACGCGGACGCCGCGAGACGAGAGGAGGAGAGCCCAGCACAACGAAGGTGCGGCAGCAGAGCGGAGCCTCCGTTTTTCTGCATTGGTTACACACACACACACACACACATATATATATATATATATACAGGGCTATTTTTGGGCAGGAACGCACAGGAACGGAGTTCCGTTTGGCTCCCAAGTTGGCCACGCCCAGCAAGAACTCATTAGCATAATAGGCCACACCCAACAGCAGCAACTCATTAGGATTGGCTACAATTAGGGGTGTGTGGCCTAATGTGCAAATAGCCCTGGGTTTTGACAACAAACAAGGTAAAGAGAATAAGAAGCAAAAGGTGGGTGTGGCTGGATGACCATGGGGTAACATGGGGGTGTGGACTAATATGCGAATGAGCTGTGATGTCAGGGTGTGGCCTATTATGCTAATGAGTTCCTGCTGGACTTTTTCTACCAAAAAAGCCCTGCATATATATGCAGTTCTCGTATCGTACATACATATATATATATATATTTTAGGGTGCACTGTTTGTTTAAAAAAATTCTCAGTTCTCGTATCGTACATCTAATGGTCATAGCTGGTGTAAATTCACTTTTCCAAAGTTTGGCTATTTGCATTTTTGCAGCCAAACTGACCGTGCCCTCCTAAGGGGTGTGTTGCGTCTTTCCAAGTTCAATGGGCTTGGAAGGGTCCAACTCTACTTAGGATAGCATTTTAATAATCCCGTCCTGGGACTTTTGTACTTTTGGACACGACCACCAAAGCTGTATGTGAGAACTGTTTTTTTCCTACATTGGCTCCAACAAGTTTTGAGGAGCTGTGGATCCACACAGTGGGTCCTGTCTGGTGTTTGATGCTGGCTCGTACAGGGCTCTTTTTGTAGAAAAAGCCCAGCAAGAACTCCTTAGCATAATAGGCCACACCCAACAGCAGGAACTCATTAGCATATTGGGCCACACCCCTGACAGCACCGCTCAATAGCACATTACGCCACACCCCCATGTTACCAGAAGTGTGGTTATCCAGCCACACCCACCTTTTGCTTGTTATTCTGTTTACCTTGTTTGTTGTCAAAACCCAGGGCCTTTTTTGTAGCAGGAACTCCTTTGCATGTTAGGCCACACACCCCTAATGTAGCCAATCCTAATGAGTTTCTGCTGTTGGGTGTGGCCTATTATGCTAATGAGTTCCTGCTGGGCGTGGCCAACTTGGGAGCCAGCCGGAACTCCGTTCCTGTGCGTTCCTGCCCAAAAATAGCCCTGCTCGTACATATCTTTTTGTGATGCTTGCGGAGGTAATTTTGAAAGGTAGTATAAGCACCGTCCCGAATGATAGGTTACTGATCCTGTTCGCCCCCAACATTGTCTGCTGCTGGTTTCTATTATCTTAGTATTTATTATCCTTTCCTGTGTTGGGAGAGCTAGGGGGTGGTGTATGTGGTTCTCTCCCCTTTATACCACTCCCCCCGCCCCGGCTCATCTTTACAACAATGTTGTGAGGTGGGTTGGGCTGAGAGCGAGCAACCGGCCCACCGTTGCCTTTGGGAACTTCATGGCAGAGCTGGGATTTGGACTTGGGTCCTAATCGGACATTCCCAGCAGCCACGTCACGCTACTTTCCCCACCGAGGGTGGGTGGGTGGGTGGGGTCCCTCCCAGGCACCGGGCTTTGCGTGAGCGACCTCCTCTCACCTCTTTGTCCCTAGTGGAACGAAGGAGGCGGGACAAGATCAACAATTGGATCGTCCAGCTGTCGAAAATCATTCCAGACTGCAATACAGACAACAGCAAGACGGGAGCGGTGAGGGTCGCCGCAAGGGGGCGGGGCCCGAGAGCAGGGAGGAGGCATTGGCCGCAATTGGAAATAGGCGGTCCTGGGTGGCTTTTCTCCCGAAACCCAGAAGGGAGGCAGAGCGTTATCTTGTCCCTCGTTGACTGCTTTGTTGCAGGGGCATTTTTAAGTTCCGCTGGGGGCAGGGGCAGGCTCTTCCCCCTTTCCACACACACAACCTCCTTAGGCTAAGTTTGGGGCCACTGTTTTTCCCTCCATCCTTGCTGTAGGCACATCTTTGGACACCGAGCTTTGTCACAGGTGGCACATGGCAAAAAGCGGTGCCTAGAGATTGTAGGGGAAGCCTGGTAGGTGGGCCTTGCTGGTCTGGTGGGCGGCTTAGCAGGGAGCTCTAGGGGGCACCCAGTAGCCGTGTGATGGGTACCCTTGCAGTGACTATTTGCGCGACCTCGCTCTCTTATCGGGGAAGGGGATAGTCCAGTTATCGTTCGTTCCTTCCCTGGAGAGGGCCGTGGCTCAGTGATCGAGCCGTTGTGGGCTATAGGACAACTTTTGCACATCCCACAGAGCAAAGGAGGCATCCTCTCCAAAGCCTGCGACTACATCCGGGAGCTGCGCCAGACGAACCAGCGCATGCAGGAGACCTTCAAAGAAGCCGAGCGGCTGCAGATGGATAACGACTTGTTACGGCAGCAGGTGGGCTTTGGCGGTCACGCACCGCGTCCTCTCTTTGCAGGGTGGGGGGACTAAGTGGACAGAGGCCCGTCCATAGCCATGGAGACTAAACGGAACCTCCGCATGTTCAGGAGCAGTGTGCCTCTGAGCGTCAGCCACTGAGGAGCTGCAGTGCAGGGGAGGCTTTGGCCCCTGTACCCCGCTTGTAGGCCTTCCGGGAGCATCCGGTTGGCTAGAGTGGACAAACAAGAGAGCTAGTTTGGTGTAGTGGTTAAGTGCGCGGACTCTAATCTGGGAGAACCGGGTTTGATTCCCCACTCCTCCACTTGCACCTGGCTGGATGACCTTGGGCAAGCCATAGTTCTGATAAGAGCTGTCCTTGAAAAAGGAGTAGTATCTGTCAGAGCTCTCTCAGCCCCACCTACCTCACAGGGTTTCTGTTGTGGCGAGGGGAAGGGAAAGGAGTTTGTAAGCCGCTCTGAGACACCTTTGGGTAGTGAAGGGCGGGGTATAAATCCAATCTCCTCAGGGGTCATTTCGTAGAAAAAGAGCCTGAGGGACTGATTAGCATAACTCATTAGCATATGCCACACCCCCTGACATCACCGGAAGTGTGTCCTCCCCACAGCCGGCGGCGACCTCCAGCGGGCACCAGCAGGGAGCCCCAGGCCCCGCCCTCCCGCACCTCACCCGGGGGGATGGCGTCCCCCCGCGTCCCCCCCCCCAAATGACCTCTGAATCTCCTCCTCCTCCTCCACACTAAGTGGCCTGTTAAGCAGATCTAGCCGAGCATAGCTCACATGCGGGCCCTCACCCACAGCCTGCGGAGTGGTACAGTCCTGTGGAGTGGTACAGCCCTCTCCACTCCTTGGTGGGAACTGGGCCTCTGGTTCTGCGATGACCGCTAACGTCTCTCGTGACTTTCTCCCCCCCCCCTTTCTCCACCACACCCTTGCCAAGATCGAAGAACTGAAGAACGAAAATGCACTTCTGAGAGCCCAGCTTCAGCAGCACGGGATCGAGATCGTGGGAGATGCCCCGGGGCAGTAACCCCCCCCCTTTCACTCACACACACACACACTGCCTCTCCACGTGGGATCTCAACCCCCCCTTCAGTTGTCCCTTTCGTATAGCTCAGAAGAATCCCTTTCCCCCTCTTCCGAGCGAACCTTGCCTCAACCCCTCCCACTGATGTGGGGATGTCAGAGGGGAGGGGGGGGAATTAGGGGAGGGGTGAAGGAAGTCTGGCCGTGTGACATGTCAGCCACACCAGCCTAGCTCCTCCCCTTTTCCCAAAAGGATCCTCCGAATGTCCTTGTCCTTTTTCTTTCCTAATTTCTTCTACCCCTGTCCCTTTTCTCATCCTTTACTTAGGCTACATTAAGGTTAAAGAGATGAAAGCCGCAGTTCTTTTTTATAGTAGACTTTTAACACTTCCTTTCCTATTCTGCTGGCTCTCCGGGGCAAGGACATGCCCCGGGAGACTTGGCCCCTCGAGCTACCCAGTTGCATCTTCTTTTCCTCCCTGGCCCTTTTGGAGTCTCTCCACCTGGTGGGAAATGGGTGGGTTTTCTTGGCCATTGGACTGGAGAGGCAGGGCTTTTGCCCTGTCCGGTTTGGCTGCCGAACCAAGCAAGCAGGAGCTTTGGCCCCCCACGCCTTGCTACTGAAATGGCAAGAAAAGGGCTCACTTCCCTTGTTTGAGGCACACACGCGCTAAAACGAGCCCTGCTCACGCAAGAGCACAGGGGATGTTTCCTGTCCTGGTTCATGCCAGCAGGAGGGCAAAGCGGCAGACTGCTGAGATGGTCGACAGGGCAGCAGCATGGAAGGCTGCAAGTGGCGGTTTCCAGTCTTCGCAGGAAAACCCTGCAAGTAGAAAGCTAGCTCTGCAGTGGGAGACCTCCTTCCTCTCCTTTGCCAGCTTTCAAGTTGCAGGGTTTTTTTGACATGGGCTAACGTTGCGACCAGTGATCCTCCACTGGATGGTGCAGTCTGTTCTTTCTGTCTAACGCCTGCCTCATTCTCTTGCATGTGTAATATGGGCATGTCTGAATAGGCCTAAAGCAAGAGAATGAGGCAGTAGAATAGGCTGCCCCACTTGGGATTGCAGGTGACGGATCCCTTTTTGGAATGTTGCTCCCTGCAAGTAGAAAAGGCAGTAAACAGAAGGTCCCTGCTGTGCTTATTTTCTGCTTGCGGGGAGTGCTTTATTGCAAAGGCAATGCTCAGAGCTGGAATTCTCCCCTGCTTGTTTAAAGTGGCACACCCCCTTCCACTTCTTTCCCCTGCGTGTGTGAACCTGGCCCCGAGTCCCTTTCTGCCCCTTTTCAGCAGGGCTCTGGTCGCAACTAGATTTTTCTGGATTGTGATTCTGAGGGCTCAGATACACAGACATTTCTTCCATCTTAAGCACCTTGCTTAACTTTTGCAAGTTTAGGGGCTGGGACTGTTTTATTAAACCGGAGAATGGCTGGGGGGGGGACGCACACTTTAACCCTTTCCTTCCTTTTTATTTTCTCACTTGAAGAAACTGCTTCTGAGCAGCTTTCTTCTGTTAGAGAGGGGAAAACACAGGTATAAGTTTGATTTTACTCCATCTGGGGGGGAAAATGCACATACCTGTATTTGTTCTGTTTCTCCCCACTGAGAGCGAAAGCAGTTCAGGGGCAGGTTTTCCAGAGAGAAAACAGAAGGTGGAGAAGGGGTTAAAATCCCCCCTCCCCCAATCTTCTCCTCTAATGCTTAATGAAGCAGTCCTGGAGGCTACATTTGCAAAAGAATAAAGAAAAGGTCAAAGCAAAGCAAGTGAGTCCTTCATTGTGTCTTTTCCCCCTAACTCGAACCACTCTGTTCCCACATTTTCCCCGAATTTTGTACATTTTGTTTAGCACAGTGGAAAGCAATCTCCCAAGACTGCTTCTATCTCCTTTTCCTCTTGTTTTGTTTAGTTAGTTTTGGGGCGTTTTTTTTTTTTTTTGTATAGAGGTACGTTGTTTGTAAGATAGCTGAAACCCAGGCGAATTGCAGGAAAAAAATTAGTGGTGGATTGAATTGACAACAGGGTTGCTTTGTTTTTGTTTTTGTTTTGGTTGTGTTTGAAAAATTATATAATTTTTTAATTAAACTTCAGCAGTGTTTTAGGACTTCAGGTTAAAAAGGTGAAAAAAAATAATAATCCGGAGATGAATTTTTAAAAGAAGCAATTACGGATATTGGAGGGTGAGGTGGTTTTCCCTCCCCCGTTCCAAGATTTTTTTAAAAAAGGAAAAATGAAAAGAATGGCTCCTAGACAAATATTGTAATATAGCAAGTTTCTTAGGTTTGTTTTTTTTTATATATATGCATAAATCTATATATCAGACCCCCTGAAGAAAAAACAACCAGGATTGCAGCCGGAATTGTGAAAATATTTGTATCGTTCGGACCCGCTCTAACCCCGGTGAATGTGAGGTGGAAGGGAGAAACTTCAATCACGGGAAAGAAAAGCAAAAAAAATGTACATGGTTTTGTCAAAAAAAATGAAGATGTGAGTTGGCTTGAAGAGTTTTGATTGTTGGAAAGTAGGAGATAATTCTGTTTATATATAAAAGAGGAAAAAAAACCTGCACAGAAATAATATTGTTACCTGTGATCATTTTTTTGTGATGTGACGGCATTAGCTGGAGAGGGGGATTGGGAAGGAATAGAATTGTTCGGTGCTTACTGTTTCCAATAACTCTGCTCCTTCCGATACAGTGCAAGGGTCCAGATCTGCAATGTTGCATGGTTGACAGTTCTCAGTTGGGAAATACTTGGAATTCTCCCCTGGAGATGGGGGGGGAGAGCTTGGGGAGGGCAGGGTTTGGGGGGACCTCAGCAGGGGATAACGCCATAAAGTTCACCCTCCAAAGCAGCCATTTTGTCCACGGGAAATGATCTTGGTCATCTGGAGATCAATTGTGTTAGTGGGAGGTCTCCAGGTACCCCCTGGAGGTTGGCAGCCCTACCGGTGTAGTGATCTAGGCCTCAGTTCAGATGTCATAAATAAGCCGGAGTTTGTCCATGACAGGCACAAACCCAGTCAATTGTCGGCACGATCGGTCCTTCCCGCAGAAACTTAAAACGAAGACTCTCCACCTTCAGACTGACGTCAGTGATCCATAATGTCTGAGGCGGGCAAGGGGACTTCCCTCACTGAAGCTTGCTGGTTTGCCAGTAACTGAAATGCTTAACTCTGAGGAATTTCAGACAGACGATATATTCCGGAAGAGGAACGGTTCCCAAACGGTTTCTGGTCCGTCATTTCAGACAGAACCCGTTTGAGAACCAGTTCCCTTCCGGAATATATTTGCCATTTCATACACAAACGCTTCTGTCCCGATTAGGAAACGGGACTGAAGCGTTTTACCTGTCCACCGCTTCCAAGTAGTTGAGGAATTTCAGACAGACAATATGGGGAATTTCACATTACCCAGTTTCACCCGGTTTCAAGCCGGCAATCATCCATTTTGAAGTGAACCGGTACAGGGCTACCATTTCACACAGGGCTTGCCCCTACCGGAAATGAGCCAGATCAGAAGCGGTTTGGCATTTCAGACTTGCACCGCTTTGTTTTCCCGCCGTTTTCCTCCCGCGTGGGTGATCGATTTTTTTTAAAAAAAAACGTTCGATTTATAGCGCTATAGCAGTATAACAAAACACTCCATGCATTCCAATGGGATTGATATAATGCTATTCTGTTATACCGTTATAGCGCTATAGCGCTATAACACTATAAGTCAAACGTTAAAAAAAAACAGCCGGAGATCGCCCGCGTGGGCGAAAAAAGGCGGGAAAAAAGCGTATCGGAACCGGGAGAGGGCACTGGAGACCATTTGGAAGTGGATGACAGGTAAAACGCTTCAGTCCCGGTTCCTAAACGGGACTGAAGCGTTTGTGTATGAAATGGCAAATAGATTCCTGAAGTGAACCGGTTCTCAAATGGGTTCTGTCTGAAATGCCAGACCAGAACCCATTTGAGAACCGGTTCCCTTCCAGAATCTATCGCCTGTCTGAAATTCCCCAATATTCCAGAAGAGGAATGGTTCCCAAACCGCTTCTGATCCGGCTCTTTTCCGGTAGGGGAAAGCCCTGTGTGAAATGGCAGCCCTGTACCGGTTCACTTTAAAACGGATCATTACCGGCTTGAAACCAGGGAATGTGAAATTCCTCTCTTTTTTTTAATCTGAGGTAACAGTCCTGTTGAATGGGGGGAGGGGGGAAATCTCACATCTCATTGGACTTAATTTAGCTTCTTCTTTTTACCAGCTTTCCTCTCAGAAGTCCTCAGAGCAGGTTGCAGTCATGTGATAAAACCAATACAAAATAACTCAAGAGACCAAACTTCAATAAAGAAGAGCTTGGATTTATACCCCGCCCTTCGCTACCCGAAGGAGTCTCAGAGCAGCTTACAATCTCCTTCCTCCCCCCCACAACAGACACCCTGTGAGGCAGGTGGGGCTGAGAGAGCTCTTTCCAGAACTGCCCTTGAGAGAACAGCTCTGAAAGAAGAAGAAGAGAGGAGGAGGAGATTGGATTTATACCCCGCCCTTCGCTACCCGAAGGAGTCTCAGAGCAGCTTACAATCTCCTTTCCATTCCCCTCCCAACAACTTTTGGTTAGGGACAATGATGGTTTTCCAACATGGCTGGCATCCACCCCCACCTCCCCTCCAAACAAACCAAAAAGAATTTAGGAAGTGACCAAAAATCTTTCAGAATTCCAGATTTTCAATTGTGTAGTTGTTAGGGACGCCATCTCGAATTTGTTTTAGATTGGTTTTTAATACTATTAATGTTATGATATTGTTTGTAATGCCATACTGTAAATTGCCCAGAGCCCAGCAGAAGTCGGGATAGGGCAATCAGTGTCTAATAAGCAATAATAACAGATACCCTGTGAGGTAGGTGGGGCTGAGAGAGGTCTTAGAGAACTGCTCTTGATAGAACAGCTCAGAAGGGACTGACCCAAAGTCACACCAGTAGCTGCATGTGAAGGAGTGGGGAACCAAACCCGGTTCTCCCAGATTTAGAGACTATGCTCCTAACCACTACACCAAACTGGCTGCCTACTGTGATTTGTAGAAACCCAGAGATGGAAGGGACCTCAAGGTTCATCTAGTCCAACCCTCTGCACAATGAAGGCGATTCACAGCTACCTTCTCTCTCCATTCCCCAAATGACCCCTACTCTATGCCCAGAGGAAGGCCACACAAAAAAAATCTCCAGGATCCCCTGGGCTGATCTGGCCTGGAGGAAAATTCCTTCCTGACCCCAAAGCAGCTAACGGCATTTCCCTGGGCATGTGAGAAAGAACCACAAGAGCCAAGCACTGGCTCATCCCTTCCCGCCTTCTGTCTCAAAATCTGCCTAAATGCATAATCCAAAGGCCTTCTGGGAAAGGAAGGTTCTGTTTCATTCAGAAGCCCCACCACATCCACAATGTGGCAGCGGCTGAAAGCACCCTCCCTTGGGTTTCAGCAAACCAGCCTGAAGATTTCTGAATTAGGAAGGAGGTGGAGGGACCATGGTGGGTGTGAACCAAAAGTGATGCATTTTTGGCCTACTCATAAAGGAGCTTCGGGTTGCTCATGATGCCTGAACACCACTTAGGTTTCTGGCAGTCTTGTGTGACCAAGAGGGGGGCCAGAGAAGAAGGAAATCGCATGTGTCCTCTGTCCCACCCACTGTCTCGCCTAATTTCCAGTTTGGGTGCTGTTTCCAGCAATGCCCCCCTCCTGTGACCCTCGAGCCCTCCACACCCGCCCGGGGGGGTCCCGGCAGTCTTCACACCCTCCTAATCCTGCCTGTCAAAGCAATGCTGCACCAGTCTTCTTCCCTCTTTGCATAGCATGCAGGGAAGACAGCCCCGTAGCTAGGGAATTTTGGGGGAGGGGGCCTCGGGGCCCCCCCACCAGTTAATTAAATGAAAGTACAGTGCAAGTGGTAAGTTGGAGCACTTTGGGGGCAGCCCGAGAGGGAGGGGGCCCTGAAGAAACACTAGGGGGCAGGCCCCGTGGGCCCCATGTTAGCTACGGGCCAGAGGGAAGAGTTAGTCCGGTAGCATTTTAGAGAGTAACCACATTTGGGCTTCCTTTTGAGTGTCAGAAAGGCACACAGGGAAGTTTGCTATTTGCAGAGTTCATCCAGTCAGCATAGGACAGGGGCACAATCATTGGGAAATAGTAAAAAGCCCAGTAACACCTTTAAGACTAACAAACTTTATTGCAGCGTAAGCTTTCGAGAAACACAGCTCTCTTTGCCAGATGCATCTGGTAAAGAGAGCTGTGTTTTTCGAAAGCTTATGCTACAATAAAGTTCGTTAGTCTCAAAGGTGCTCCTGATCCTGGGCTTTTTACTGTTTTGCAGCAACAGACTGTCACGGCTAACTCCTCTGGATCTAAGTCCTTGGAAAGATACCCCAGTTGGTGCATCCATTTTCTGCAACTATATATATTATTTTTAGTCCTCCTTTCTCACTTGGAGTCAAGGCAGATTACACAGCATCAACGCAATCGATTGATGGGACATTCAGTAAATAATGCAATCGGATTAGGATTGGGCAACCAAACAGAAGTCTGAAATTGGAACTGAAGCAAAGTGTAAGTATTGACATGACACATGAAATGATGCAAAATTCCACAGCAGGACCCTGGCAAGCAGCAGACGGCAAGCTCAGTAGTATAGACCACAGTCCCTAACAATTTTTCTAAGTGATTTTGTGAGTCGTTCAGTACAGCACAGCTCTGTTGCCTGCATAGAAAAGCTTGCTGGCCCTGGCCATCTGCCCTGGACTGCATTCAGATGGGTTGAAGATGTGTGTTGTGTTTAATTCTTATGTTGTAATGTCTAAATGTGGGAAGGTTCTACAAACTGGGATCTGCTGGTTGGCACGAAATCTCTGAGATCATGGATTGTTCAGTAAGTGGTGCGGAGTAAGATTTCATCACTGGATTGGTAAACGAAGAGGGCAGCACTGGGAAACCACCCTGCTGCATTTCCCCCATGGGGAGATTTCACGGGGGCACCCCAAAATAGCAAGAGTCGTGGTTGGACACAAATCTGAGTCCACGCCTTGTTAAATGATGCGGCTCAGCAACCGTTCGTAACCGAATTTTCCCACGCAGACGATTCGCTGACGAATTATCGCCGAAGGAGAAAGTGTTACAAATTACAATACCAAACCAAGGTGTGAATGTAGTGCAGATCTCTCTCTTCTGTGATCACTTGACGTTTTGCCTCTGCCAGGTTAACGCTTCCTTAAAGAGTTTTGAAGAACAAACAAGGCCAGGTGAGGGTCTCCCCCGCCCCCAAATATACCTTCCCATCAGTAGCAGGGCCAGCATAAGCATACGGTAAGGCATCTGCCAGGGGCCAGGGCTGCTGGTGGGGCCCACTGCCAGTGACCCTGCACCTCCCCTGCGGCCCACTCACACTTCCCCCCACCTCCTTGCTTATTTGCAACACTCTGCCAACCCGTGCCACTAGCCGTAGGTACTGTCCGGCATCACCAGGGATCTGGGTGGGGGTGGGCATATGTGAGAGCAGGTGATAAGACTGCTCATGAGAGGCTGGGGATAGAGGCGCACGAATGGGG